AATCTAACATGCTGAGCTTGTATCCATTTAGCCGAAAAACCGATTACTTTTATGTAATTGGAGCCGTTTGGCTAACAGCTAGGAGTGAGAGAGAGACAAATTTTATTTACAATGATGCTTCGTCCGCATTATCTGCATCTCATCAGCGGTCAAAACGATGCTGGTAGTGAGGGCGGCAGCATGGTCCCTGCGACATTGAGAATATGTGTGACACTAATTGGGGCCATAGTGTCAGTTGTGCTTCCTGGGGTGGGGCGGTCCAGCTCTTCCAACTGACAGGTATGGTAGGCATGAGGAGGAAAGGGGTGAGGTAGTATGGAGATGATTGTGCACGGGTACAGATCGGTTAGGGTAGGCATGCACTAGTTATTAGGCACATATTCCAAAGCGCCGCAAGCAATATTTAGCCGACATTTAAGCCATTGCACGGTGCAGGCACATAGCCAGAATTTTGTTTCGGGGGGCGCCCGCCCATGACAAAATGCTGTATGAGGGGGAGGGGGGAGAGGAGGTCCCAGCAAAATGGAAAATTTCGGGGGGAGCCCGGGCGCCATGGGTCTCTCTTCTGGCTACGTGCCATGGTGTATACATGAGTAAATCGTAGTGTTGCAGGGAGGAGGGGAGGGGGGAGAGGGAATTATTGTGTTGCGAGACTTGAAAAGTTTAAATTTTGGTAACTAATCATTCCTTTCTATTATTCCGTATACACCGTGAAAACATTTTTTTGCCATTTGCATACTGTTTGGTATACACATCTAATACATTTGGTTACAATATTTCTTAGTATAGCAGATCCCCAGCTAAAATTCCCATTAGATCCAATTGGAATTTTCACTGGTTTTAACCGGAATCGATTGGTTTAGTGGGTTCCAATCAGCACATTGGCCGATGGGTCTCACCAATTGGAATTTAATAATTCAGAGGCATCCGGTTTAGAGAAGCTCGTTTTAGCGAACGCCGTTTTACTGACCCCGGTTTATCGAATCCCTTGAGAACCCATGCAGTTTAGAGAAGATGGCGATAAGCTTCCCTTTAGCGAATTCGGCTGCCATTTGGCAGGGATAAATTGGCTGTCTGAAAACCCAACTGGTACGAATTGTCCAAGTGGAATCTAATGGGAATTCTGAACTGGGATGTCATATGCAAATTAACCTTCAGCACCAGCATCTTCTTTGCCAAGCATATTTTGTCCCTTCATCAGGGAAAGCAACCTCTCACTGGTGCGATCGTTTCTTTCATCTATATGTTCGGGGCATGCAAAGCGAAAACAACCGCATCTCCACGTGGTGAATGATGTTGATTGGGGCGAAGCTCTGGTGGTGCTTGTTTGCGTAGACGCTGAGCCGCAGCATGCCGAGCCTTTCGTTCGTTGTCATCCATGTCACGCTGCGGTCAAATGCTCCAATCCTTATAACCACGTTCCATACCACACATTCTCTTTCTGACATGGATGAAAACGAACGAAAGGTTCGGCATGCTGCGGCTCACCGTCTACACACAAGCACCACCAGAGCTTCGCCCCATCAACATCATTCAACGGTACGTTGCCCACACAGCAAGAAACTTGGAAACAAAAGGCTGGCAATAACTATTTAAATAGCTGCCCTCACATGTTGGCATCACAGGCAACGAGACAGCCGATCGTCTTGCAGCAGAAGCGCACCACCTTAATGTGCCAACACTCTATGTATCGAAAATCCACGAGGCCAGACAGCTTATACACAAAGAAATAGAGCGACAACATCCTGACCCGCGAGTGTCTGGAGGAAGACCACCCGCACGTGTGCCGCCAAAGCTTTCACGAGCCAGCGCCTCCATTCTGCATAGGCTTCGCGCTGGGTGTGCCTTTATAGCAAAGGCCATTCATCGTCTGGACCCCACAATCAGCCCAAACTGCTCAAGCTGTGACGTTCCCGAGGACCTAGAGCACCTCATCTGGGTCTGTCCAAATCTAGCGGACGCGAGGAAATCTTTCCTCGATGGACTACAGCTCGCAGGGGTTGCCCACGGGACAACTGAAGACATTCTTTTTCCCCCAGGCTCAGTAAGAGATGCCACTAGAACATTCGCCTTACTCATAACGTTCTTAGAAGATGCAGATCTAATAGACCGGCTCTAAAGCATGGTGCCATATACGCCCCGAGCCAGTGAACCGTCCATTCTCATAGGTAGTCCAAACTACCTCCACCCCTATCTCTCCTTCCTCTTTTTTCTCTTTTCTACTTCCTTCTTTTAATCCCTTATCCCTAACCCGTCCCTACCCCGGAACTGACTCGCCCCCCACAGAAGGTGTGGCCAACATGTACCGGGATTTCTCTCTTCCCTCTCACCATGCACTAATAAAAAAAACATCATTCACCACGTGGGATGCGGTTGTTTTTTGCCCTACACGAGCACGGGAGCACGTGCTCACGTGCTCGTGAGCACGAGCACCCGACGCCGGACATCGGAAGGACATGGCCAGAAAGAGCTTCGCCCCTTAAAAAAAAAGAAAAGCGCTGTTTCACAAGCTTGCTGGCGGGACAGCGACCTTGGCCGGAAAAGCGTTATCTGGGGGGCTATGTTGCGCTTTTTGCACTCCCAGGAGACTAGGGAGAGGGAAGTGACGTCAAGTACACAGCAAACGCAGATTGGGTGTTGATTTCGTTTTCTTCTGTCAACATCCAATCTGCCTTTGCTGTGTCGTTGACGTCACTTCCCTCTTCCAAGTCTCCTGGGAGTGCAAAAAGCGCAACATAGCACTACTGGCCCCGCCTAAATGGAGACATCTGGTCACTTTATTGAAGGCTAAACATAAAACAGCGCAAAACAATTCGAGGACCAGCTCCACAGCTAGCCCTGCTGGAAATGGACGATGTGAAATGAGGCCAAAATTCACATTGAACCAATGTGCAACTGTAGGTCCAGACACATTGAGCAATATGCATTTATGAAACAAAAACCTATGTGCACCAATTGGTAATCCTTTAGGGAATTCACATTGGGCTGAATTGGTAATCCTTTAGGGAATTCACATTGGGCTGATTGCATTTATGAAACAAAAACCAATGAGCAGCAATTGGCAACAGGTACCCCAGTGCACATTGCATTGAGGGTATTTATGGGGCAAAAACCAATGAGCAGCAATTGGCAACAGGTGCTCCTGTGCACATTGGGTTGATGGTATTTATGGGGCAAAAACTAATGAGCGGCTATTGGCAACGGGCCCCCCTGTGCACATTGGATTGATGGTATTTATGGGGCGAAAACCAATAAGCGGCAATTGACGACAGGCACCCCTGTGCACATTGGGTTGATGGCGTTTAGGGGGCGAAAACCAATGAGCGGTAATTGACAACAGGTGCCCCGGTGCACATTGGTTTGATGGTACCCAGTCAACCAGCAACCGTCTATTAAACATCCGAAAGATGTGTTGTTCGGACATTTAACATATCCAGTGGATATCTGCTACGATTCATCCAACATTGAAAGTATCTACTGTGCAGTGCAAAATGGTTTCCCAGAAAACGTACCACTAACACAATCTGGTTGATGCAGCTGGACATTCAGGTGGATGTACCATGTACATACCTCAGAAATATTACCTTTCCTGGTATAGGGACCAGCCCTATGCCAGGAGGGCAAGGAAGTGCCTAAGCAGCCTTCATTTTATGCTAGCATATAGCGTGTAAACTGTCCTACAGAAAAATTTAAACGGATAAGAGTCGAATTCTTTACAAAACAAGAGCTCAGAGGGCAGATTTGCTGTATGGCCCGTGCATGCTCTCAATGTATACCCAAATGGCGCATTACAGATGTATAATGTAGCAATCAGGCCCGCAGCAGACATTCTTTATATTGAAGTTTTTTTTTCACCATCAAGCTCAGAAGCTTTACCACAGGATCAGTACAGACGACACTGACAAGGAAGGCGACACTACTGATGCTGACTCGTTTTAGTGAGGTGGACCTCGCCACATGCGAGAGAACTGAAATACGGGACACAAACATTGTCATAAGCTATGACGAACGGCCCTGAGGAATTGACTACTGAAGTCTAAGGCTTCAGTAGTCATATGCTCTAGTGACGAGGACACCAGAATTTTACGAGAGCTGTAGCACCGACTGCATGGCAAAAGATGCCGCTGCAGTCTTGCAGCGTAACTCTGAACGTGAGTAGCGCACTAAATTCCTGCCCAGCCTGTCAGGCATGCAGATCCGTTCTGTAGAAAAAGTTGCAGTGCCAAACAAATCACCATGAACTCTTTATTGTTACTGTTAGACAGATGAGCAGTGCTTGATGCTTTTAAAATAAAGTATAATTTTTGAACAATGCTGCATAGACAGCATGAGGTTTTCAAAATAAAGTATACTTACTGAACAATGCAGGATACTTTGCTTAAAAAAAATGTCTGATAAACATAATAAAAAGCTCAGCACATTCAAGGCCCACTTAAGGCAGTTCACATCTCTATCTCCTGTGGTGCAGAATGTTCCTGAAAAGCAACGAAAAAATGTTACGTTAAAGATATGTGAGCAGTGGTTTACCATTCTATGAAACAAAACTAATAAAACAGTGAAGTTCAAAGTGAAGTGACTCAAATATGCAAGAATTGGAACTGATGTAAATAAATCACAAGTATTTTATGCCTTGTTTTTAAAGCACATTCATGCTGGATGTGTGTACTGTATTGCCAACTTTTGTTTATTAGATTTACATCAAATATCAGTGTTCTTAAAATTCGTTGTCTATGCATTCTCTTTAATCCATAATAAGGTACTATTACATAATGAAATTTTTCCTCTTAGAGAAACACTCCAAACAAAATTTTTTTTATTTAAAATTATTCAATACTGTTCACACCTGTAGTATTTGCTCTCAAATTAAACCAAAAAAGGTGTATTTAAAGCATTCAAATACTCTCATATAGAAATTATGCTTTGAAGAAATTGCACACCATACTTACTGTTCTAGAAAAGTTTGATTTTTGTGCTAACATCAGCTTAATAAGACCAGCTTACCATTTGAGATGACTGATGTCAGGCAGGTGCGTGGCGAAGTTAATCCGTGACCATGGTTTCTACCTTGAAGTCTTCACATTTATGGCAGCTCTGCACTACATCTGATAAAAGAAAGCAACAGAAGTATGACACCAACAATTCCATAAATCTGGTTCCATGTGAAGCGATCTGCACTACTGTTCCAGAGATTACTTACTTATGATGCACTCAGCAAGGTGAAGGTTCCTGAATGTCAACTTTCTCTTGCGTCCTTTCCACAAAAATTTTCGCCCCAACTGGTCAGTCAGCAACCGCTTCGTGATCTGTCTCGTACAGGAAGCATAACCAGATCCACACACTTTGCTGAGCTGTCGAACATAAAAAAACATCCACATAGCAACCGCTTAGTGCAATCATAACTATTGATTGTATGTTTCTGTTTATTTTTAGTCAACCTTGGCAGGTGTTTATCGGCATCAATTTCTTCATTAAATGTGCTGCAAAAATATTCCAAAAGCCGGGAATCATAATGATAAAAAACTGCACCGACTTACTCAAGAAGATTAACAATTTAATCAAACGTTTCGTCTCCCATGTGGGAAACATCGTCGGTGAAACCTTGAAGCAGGAATGAGCGAAAGAAACTTCAACAGTCCTATTTAAGCAAGTCCGCATACACATTGAGGAGGGGGCCGCAGCTGGAGTTACAAGCTGATGAGTCATTTCGGATGAACCATGATTCTACGAACCTGCTTGGACCCCACCTTTGTTCAAGCGCCAGAGTGGACGCATTCTCAAAAGTCGAAACTGTGTCCCGTATTCCAACAATGGTCTACGAGTTCCGTCTTTGCTCTTGTCGCATGCGTGGCCTTTGCCATGTCCCTTTTGTGACTTTCATTTAGCTTTAAACAGCATTGAATCATCAATCCAATTCACACATGATGTTGAACAGAACGGTGCAAAGCCTTTTCTGTATGTTAATGTGTTCCGAAATAGTACCGGTCGCTTATATACAACAGTGTACCGCAAAGCTGTGATACAGGCAACCTCTTAAGCTTTAACTCGCATCATTCTGTCGAACATAAAAGGGCTGTCGTAAAAAACCTACTACACCGGTCCGAACGAATTTCTTCTAATCCTCAATTGCGCGCTTCTGAGAAAAAAGTCAAATTTGGGGGATTTACGTGCTAAACCAACGACGGGCATCTGGCACGCCCCAGCGGAGGACTGAGGATTAATTTGGACTACCTGGGGATCTTTTGACGTGCAACTGAAAGCTCGGTTACACGGCGCCTGCTCCGCAATAAGCCTCTGCCACATGGGGATCCGTAGGCCAGCGCTCTCGCCTCGGAGCCACCGAGGCGGCTTGCGCGCTTCTGAGGATGCTGTTATTGTTGACCTGCTGATGAAGCGGAATTATACGAAACGTTTTATTGATAACACGCACAAACAGATGGGACAAAGAAGTCAGGATAATGGACAACTTAGGACAGGGCAGGCAACAATACCCTATTTGAGAGGTGCTTTTGAGTCCATTCGCAGGGCCCTCGCCCCTTTGAATATCCGCGCAGCTTTCAAACCCCACCATAAACTATGTGACTTCATTTCTAAACCTAAAGATTACACCCCCCCAGAGTCCCAGTGCGGTGTTGTGTATAAAGTGAACTGTCTAGACTGTGACACATCCTACATTGGGGAGACAGGCTGGAAGCGCTGCACTCGCCTAAACAAACACAGCGAAGACGGAACTCGTAGACCATTGTTGGAATACGGGTCACAGTTTCGACTTTGAGAATGCGTCCACTCTGGCGTGTGAACAAAGGTGGGGTCCACGAAGGTTGGTGGAATCATGGTTCATCTGAAGTGACTCATCAGCTTGCAACTCCAACCGCGGCCCCCTCCCCCGATGTTTATGCGGACTTGCTTAAATAAGATTGTTGAAGTTTTTTCGCTCATTCCTGCTTGAAGGTTTCACTGATGATGTTCCCCGCATGGGAGACGAAACGCTTGATTAAACTGTTAATCTTGTTGAGTAAAGTCGGCGCATATCATTAAATTTGCTACTAATATTTATACCTGCTCTTATTGAGGCACTTCCGACATTTAAACTGAGGAATTTTGACGTCTTTATCTCAATATGGCGATTGGATTAAAGATCATACCACTGGGCACGGGCTTGGGCTTACCCGAAAGCCCAGGCCTGGGATGGGCTCGGACTTTTGACTGTGGGCCCGGGCCGGGCTCGGGCCAGCACGTTGATTGGCCTGGTTCGGGCCAGCACGTTGATTGGCCTGGTTTGGGCCAGCTGTAATTGACCATGATGCTGACAGAGGCCATCGTAGAAATCGGCGTCTCGGTTATCTCAGCAACATCAACTCCAGAACCACTAGACAAGTACCCATGAACGTAGGCCCACCTTAAGACAGTGGACGGCAGCGTCGTTAATCATGAGGTGAGCTTCGGGTTAATCCCAGTGGCGTGATGTTTTTGCTTGTGGTGATAAATAGCGGCAAACCAAAAATAAACCGACATTGAAGCGCTCTGTCAGGAATTAAAAATGGGGGACTCAAAAGCATTAACGCTAAACAATCTCAACCTAATTGATCATGAGAAACACTTATCTCTCTCGAATAATAGGTGGGAAGCGTTAACATAACGGCAATGATGTAGTGGGGAAGCTTACAGGCCTAGTAAACAATTATACACATACTGGGGAATGCCTGGCACATATTCAGGTATGAATACATGCTCAGATCTACAAAATATTTTAGGAGAAGATACAAACTGCAAATTAGTAGTCTTTCTTAGAAAACACATTGACGTATCTTAATCACAGTGCTAAAACCCATAAAAACACTTGATTACAATTATTTTAATAAAAAAAAGTTCTGAATATGTACATGACACCAGCAGTCATAGCTTTGATTTAGTTCATCGCAAGCTATATTTCTCTGGCAGCAAACGAAGACAATTCTTTCAACTGTGCAGTGAACCAGAATTAATACAATACGACAAAGTTTCCGTATACCACTTTAAAATAACCACAAACAACGCTTTTCAGATCAGTATGTTTTGCTATAAAAGGCTTATTATAAAGCCATAGTCCTTACAGTATATTATAAAGCTTTTAGTCTTGCTGCATCCAGTTGTGGCTTTGCTTAGCCTTTGTGCGGTTTGAAGGTCTGCCGGTTACAATTCGCCAAGGAGGCCATCTGTGGCGGAGATAATTACCAAACCTTACCGGATGAACATTGATTCCCTCTTCTATTTGAGAACTTTCGTGTGTGAAGTCTTGTTGAGCCACATGCCATTGCCAATGCACACATAGAAGACAAACTTCAGTTCATCTTTGAAGCAGCACTATGTACAGGAAATTTGCCAGCGCAATATTCGTGACTCCAGCGAAATCGACGCCGCGTAGCGGCAGCGCCGAGAAGCTCAGGAGAGGAGGTTGTCCCGACTCTGTCGTCTGCTATCGCTGCTTGGTTCTCGTAGGCAGCATAGAAACAAACATTGTTTCCAGTAATTATTTTAATGATTCCACTGGGTCCTTCCTACGCACTGAGTAGACGAACGTTTCTAGGGTAGAAAAATCGCTTTGCATTCAAATGTAACACCGATTTTATGCTGCAGTGCAGGAATTTGTGATGGTCCGCATACTGAACAACGAAAACGACCTTCTTTCGTCCCAATTTTGCCTGAGCAGCGCGCCATCTATAGTTCGCTGGAGTCGCGAATAACCTGGACTGGGATTGAAAACAGGGGTCCTATTTGTCAACGGCATGCCTCAAAATTAATTTTGCTGATGAAAAAAAAATTGTAGCAATATTTACGCGGCAAAACGCAATTTGAGTTTGGCACAAAACCGAACCGGTGTAACTAGCAGGTATCCTTCTTACCTCCTTACTGTCGGAGTTAACGATTTGAATGATTCGACGTGATCCCTCACCCTCCTCCTCTTCTTCATCTCCTCTCTCTACCCCAACGAACTAACAAACAAACAAACATGCACGCACACATGCACACAGATACCTCTTCTTCAAATAGACACAGACTGCGCCACGCCTTGACAGATATAATTCATTCTAACCTTAAGCCTATCAGCACAGAAAAAATGTTAAAACACATTAACGAGAAAAGAGTCAAAGTACAGGCTAGCTGGTGGAAGTCAACCATTTCGTCGTTTACCCTGAGACTGGGGGGTTTTCGAAGAGCAGAAGTAACAGAAAAAACAGACAGGTCTTGAGACCTGTATGTTTTTCCTGTTACTTCTGCTCTTCAAAAACCCCCCAGTCTCAGAGTAAACGACGAAATGGTTAAAACACATAACCTTTACCTAGTTTCTGGGCATATGAAAACAAACACACGGCACCCCTATCAATGAAATTCCTTGTACTTGTGACGGCATAACTAAAGAAAATCTCAAATTTAAAATACGTCTTATGAATTGCTTCGCAAGCCCGAAAATGAAATTACAATTACCTGTCTCACACAAGCTTCCTCCAGCCCTCCCGGGCAGTCACTCATCTCGTCGGAGGTACTAGCACCCGCTTACTGTCACTGGGTTTCCGCGTCACTCTGCGATCCTGAAACAACCGGCGCCGAGAGTTACTCCCACATATTGTGCTTAAAGAAGGAGATGGTCACTAGACTGGGCACAACGCGTGTGGAGACTAGAACTTACCAAACAACTTTAGGATCCGCGCCTTGAAGAAGTCCGATTCCGTTTCGTCACAAGGCTTGACGGGCAGAAATTTGAGATGATATGTGGCTCATGGTCGTCCTCAAGACGTACGCTTGCATAATCGTTCGTAAAATTCCGGCCGCTCAACTGGTCTCGACTCTGCAACGTGCTTCAAGCGGTTAGACTTCCCGCGAACGTTGCTTCGACAGCTTCGGTTCTTCTTCCACGCTTCCTTGTCCTCCGGCCGGACCGTTCGGTTTATCACGTCGGGCCACTTCCTGACGCAGGGGATGTATCACGTGACTATAATACTTCGTATTTTAACTCTTGTTTTTGTTTGCTGAAGTAAACAAATACTTAAAAAATTTACTTATTGACCTTAATTTAGCAAAAAATTTGCATAAATTGCACTTTAAAAACTTATTTTGGTTTTATATGTCATGCGGGCTATGCATGCGGGTGACCCCACTGTTCACTCTATTGACTCCAGCTCACTTTATATTGTCACGTGGTGTAACCCGCAAGCCCGCAAGTGTGACTGATGTACTTAAGAAAATAATAAACGTTTCTAAAAATTATAGTATTACTTAATTGTCAAATGTAAATACTGAATATATATTAAACTTATAACAGAGTAATTTTTATTTGTCATTTTAATTAGAAAATTGCATTTGCTGCGGGACGACGTCGGTGCGAATTTTAAAATTTGGATTTGAGACACGTAGGGTGTCGCGCTGTGCGACCATGAACCCAAACAAAAAAATATACTTGGAGCCACTAAGTATACCCAGCTTGCCAAGGACAACAGTCCTGAGACGAAGTTGTGTCCTAAAAAATGCTACAACAGGCCAGGGACCAGAACCGACGTCGCCGACAGCAGTTTCTGTAAGCTCGGTTGTCTCGGAACACGGTGAGACAAAAACTCCCCGTGAACTAAGTAGTACCAATGAAACCAGAAGCTGTCACAGTACTGGGCCAGTTAGTGAAGACACAAGTGATAAAATTGTGAAAGTGACGGGAGATTTGAAGACCGATTTCCTGTCCAAGTTTCCGAAAAGGCTACTGCCAAAGACGAATGTAACGAGTCTGACGTACCCTGTTTCGGTTGGCCTTCATTTTAATTGGACGCAAAATGAAGGGCTTCTGAATCTCGAAAACTTCATTGCTGGAGTGTACACTCTTCCCGGCATCAAGGAAAACTACAACATTGGGAAGCCAGAAGCCAAACTAAAGGCCCAAACTGCCAACAAGCGCGTAAAATGCCTTTCAAAAAGGAACTTCCTTGCTCAACTACAAAGTGGAAAGCGCTGCCTGACACTTACTGTGCGTGAAACAAGGTGCAATCATCATTTCGGGAAGGTCATCCTTATTTCGTGTGTGTGTGTGTGTGTGCGCATTTTATGTGCTTTTTTTAATGACTTCTATGGTGTTAATAATTATTGGATGTTATTCGGCACTACCGGCTTTTCTTTTCTGTTAATAAAAAGCATGCCCACGATAGAATGTGCACGTGATCTGCCGACCCAGAACGAGCGCGTAGCCTCTGCTAGGGCTCAAACAGGATACGTTCACATGGCAAAATGGAAGCCTGAAGTATCGCACTTTTTCGCCAACTCCGCCAAAGTTTTAAAGTCCCGACGTCGGAAGTCTGAGAGCTTTGGACCAATCGTGAAAGATGATAATAGGATTTTTGAGTCAGTGTTATTCTGTTTTTGACCCGGTTTTACTCTGATTTGCTCGGTTCTGGAGCGAAATTTATACAAAAACGAGAACGTTCCACTCCGAAACCAGGTAAAACTGAATAAAACGGAGCAAAGTTCAATGTGAATACATAATCCAGTTGGTGCAATCGTTTACGCTATTACTGTTACTGAAACATCCTGGAAAACAAAAGGACAGAATACACCGCTAAAACTGCAGAGTTCCGATGATACCTGAATTTCGTGGCTTGCCTATATATAATTATTCATGAATCTTGTGCATACTATGTGCACACATAATGTTCCCGTTCCCCATAGTCTTTTCTTTATGTTTTACTGGCAGCCGCATGTTTTATAATACGAAGGAGGACAGTACGTAATCAGGAAATTCTAAAACACGTGACAAAAAAGAGTTTATATTCACTTTATTAACTGAATGTTTTATTTAATTAGTGTCTACATGGCCCAACCCAAGTTATATAGCTAAAAAAAAATGTTTATTTGACAGAGAGGAACCCATCGGGCACGCACGTATCTGCACGGGGGGGGGGGGGGGTACCATGGCCCCCCCCCCCCCTCCTCCCAAACCTTTCATTTGGTGGGGCCTCCTTTCCCCCCTCCCCCTCATACAGTATTTTGTCATGGGCGAATCAAAATCCTGGCTGCGTGCCTGTCATCGGGTATATTTGCGGCAAAAATTATTTTCCTGTGCTCAAAACATAAAACTTTAGTATATAACAACTCTAATTTCTTCACTAAGCATACTGTTTAACCTGATAGATGCCCACTTAATAGATTTTATGTTCTGTATTCCCAGTCGACCATTAAAAGTTCTCGATCCGAAATGCATTCCATTTCACCAATGAAGCTTTCAGTTTAACCAGTACAACTTGTTATTGATCCTATTGAAAGACCAATAGGCACTTGTATTCCGGACCAGAAAACATTTGTGTTGTTACCATAGAAGTTTCTACTTGTCCCATAGAAGTTCCTGCTTGTCCCACAGAAGTTCCTAATGGTACAAGAGAAGTCTGTATTGGTACGATATAACTTGTTATCGGCCCAGTAGAAATGCCCATCGGTACGATGAAATCCTATTGATCGCATAAAAATCTCTATCGGTCCCATAGAAAATTTTTGCAAGGGTGTGCTAATTTGGCGATTGAGCATTGTCACTGCCATACTGCACCGAGTTCACTTCTCTGCAGTGCATGGCTCTTGGCTATCTCCCGTACAATGTCTCTGCCACATAGCGCCACTGGCTGCAATGAGCGGTAATGAGCAAACTGAGTGTCGTGCACATTGACACAATTGGCATCATGGCGCTTGCCCCCTAAAGTTGACTTTCCCTCAACCGATTCTTTGGCCTTCCCCCGTGCTGCGGCTTCTCTGCAGCATTTCCAGTTGCACCCATGTGCAAAACATCGGATTTTTTCATCGGCGCCAATTGCACATTCATGCTCATAGGCTTTGGCTATGCATTTCAAATGGAACAGGCCTGCCATTTCCAGCAGGGCGATGATACCTGAATCTCGTGGTTTGCCTATATATAATTATTCATAAATCTTGTGCGTATTATATGCCCACACAATGTTCCCGTTCTCCATAGTCTTTTTTTTATGCTCCACTGGCAGCCGCATGTTTTATAATACGAAAGAGGACTATACGTAAGTAATCAGGAAATTCTAAAACACATGACAAAAAGATGTTCATTTTCACTTTATTAACTGAATGTTTTAATTAGTGTCTATATGGCCCAACCCAAGTTATATAGCTAAAAAGAAAAGGTTTGTTTGGCAGATAGGAACCCATCGGGCAGGTACGTATCTGCAGGGGGAAGGGGGGGGGGGGGGGGGGGGGGGACCCATGGGGCCTGCCCGTCCTCCCCCCCCCCCCCCAAACCTTCCATTTGGTGGGACCTCCTCTCCCCTCTCTCCCTCATACAGCATTTTGTCATGGGCAAATCAAAATCCTGGCTGCGTGCCTGCCACCGGCTATGTTTGCGGTAAAAGTATTTTCCTGTGCTCAAAACATTTCTCCACTAAACATACTGTTTAACCTGATAGATGCCCACTTAATCGATTTCATGTTCGGTATGATCCTCACCTCAAATGGTCCAATAAAAATTCCCAGTAGACCATTAAAAGTTCTCCATCCGAAATTCATTTTATTTGACCAATAAAGCTTTCAGTTTAACCAGTACAACTTGTTATTGCTCCTATAGAAGGACCAGTAGGCACTTGTATTGAACCAGAAGACATTCGTGTTGTTCCCATAGAAGTTTCTACTTGTCCAATAGAAGTTGCTAATGGTACTATAGAAGTCTGTATTGGTACGATATAACTTTTTATCGGCCGAGTAGAAATGCCCATTGGTACGATAAAATCCTATTGATCCCTTAAAATCTCTATGGGTCCCATAAAAAAGTTTTACTAGGGTGTGTTAATTTGGCAATTGAGCACTGTCACTGCCATACTGCACCGAGTTCGCGTCTCTGCAGTGCATGGCTCATTGCTATCCCCCGCGCAATGGCTCTGCCACGTAGCGCTACTGGCTGCAATGAACGGCAATGAGCAAACTGAGTGTCGTGCACATTGAAACAATTGGCATCATGGCGCTTGCCCCCTAAAGTTGACTTTCCCTCAACCTATTCTTGTGCCTTCCCCCGTGCTGCGGCTTCTCTGCAGCATTTCCAATTGCACCAATGTGCAAAACATCGGATTTTCTCATTGGCGCCAATCGCACATTCATGCTCATAGGTTTTGGCTATGCATTTCAATTGGAAAAGGCCTGCCATTTCCAGCAGGGAGGACTAGTGCAGCGCTCGTCCTGTGGTGTTTGTTCCTTTCCTTGGTCTTCTTTGTTTTGCGCTGTTGTACCTACATGACGTTTAACCAATCATAAACCTGAATTTTTTTTTTATCTACTGTAGTTGCCCTTGCAATTGCTTGAGCTCCTGTACCATCTGCTCCGCCTGTGAGTTGCCGGTGATGAGGTGCGCTGGTGACTCAGATGATATTCATGCAATAAATCATGGTAACTTAAAGCAGCTCCGTTGCCCAAACAAACCTTCATTAACACTTCAATTGTGTCTAACAAAGACCATAAATCCTTGATTACTACGCTCGACGACATGCTGCTATCCACTCACACCTCGAGCCATTTGGTGTATAATAACCTGAAATGCTTTTCCTCACTGAACCAGCAAAGCCTATGTGAATTTCATTCCAGGATGTTGGCCATTCTCACTGTGTCACTGCTTTTAGCTTGTGTTTCTGGTTGTTTGGCATTAAGTATGGGATCCAGACATAATGGTCCCGGACATTATGATCCCAGACAATATGGTCCCGGACAATATGGTTCCGGACAAAATGGTCCCATGTCGTTTTCGCTGCATTTTTTCTTTTTTTTTTTCTTGCTTTTCACAGGTTTGTAGATTGCATGTATTTATTTTTGGTGAACATTTGTGACATGAGCCATTGGTTATTTTAGAGTTACTTTTTAATTGCTTGGTCTTCAAAGGTTTATGTTATTAAATGTGATTCGCAAAATACTTATATTGCGAGCCGTTCGTCAATCTAGAGTTTATATTTTTCACGGATAATTTTCGCGATTTGTTCTACTTTTCGTGTGTTCAACTTGAGTTTC